AGGGGGGGGAAGGAAAATTAGAGGCTAGCGAATTTTGGGAATGATGAGGGCAACAAATGTATAGATGTGCTTTACACAATTGATCTATGTATTGTGATGAATTGTATGAGCCCCAATAAATTGGTTAAAAAAAAAAGCTGATGGAGTTTTTCCCACAAACTTTTGAAGCTCCCTCCTAAGTAGCCCACATCGAAGCATTACAGGGATGTTGAAAACAATTTCGATAGAGCGGCCAGTAGGACCTCAATTGCAAGGTGGCGGGGTTCGTGGGGTGCTGCCAGACCCTAGAATTCTCCACTTTGGTCACTGGCCCCACAGCTAAGAGTTGAGAGCAGAGGGGAGCCGGAGTCAAGCCTGGCCCTCCCTCCTGAGCTTCCACGTTTCCCTCCCTCCCCTAGTGGTTGAAAGCTCTCTCCCACTGGGAAACAGGAAACTAGACATAGCTAAAGGCTCTGTGTCTGGGGAGCACATAACTAACTCTCTTCTCCTTCCTTCAAGAAATAGTGTGGTCAGGGGGTAGCATGGGCTCTGGCATCAAAGAGACCTGTGTCTGAACCTCTGCTGCTTGCTGCGCTGCCCATTGGGTAGTGGGTTAGGCCGGGTGAGCTAGAGAAACAAATCCAGTGACACTCATCTATGTATACAAAAGAGCTTTATGTCAAGAAGTGGTTATAGATGAAGAAGGCATCCCAGCCCAGTTCAACTCACGACCGTCAGTCCCTCTTCAGACTCACGTAGCCCCATGAAATGAACAGAATGCAGGAAGATCACGGGCCGGTGGATACAGGGTCGTGTGGATCCAAGGTTTGTGGAAACACAGCAGGGCTCCGGCAGCTCTCAGTGGCAGCGTCCCAGCAAGCAGGAAGGCAAAGGAGGTGAGAAAGAGAGAGAGAGAGATTCCCAATTTCCCTAGGTTTGAAGAAGTCACATGCCCCAAGGAGGTTGGCTTCCATCCTTACACTTTCAAACATCTTCACGTTGACATGAAAACACCCTAACTACCACAAGACCAAGCATGCCAGTGCCCCCATCCAGACCGGCAGTCCTCTCCGGCTCCTTGCTCCTCTCTTTACTCTCTCTGCGCACAGGAGGAGGGCTGCCAGCTAGTGCCCATTTGGAAAAGTACCGCTCGAGAGCTATGAATCAGCTTGGGCAGGCAGAGTGATTCATGTATGACCAACGTGGTTTATGTGGTTCAGGTCATCTCTTCTGAATATTTTCTCCCTCTCTTTTCTAATTAAATGTTGATTTGGTCTAAATAGTGAGTGCGGAGAGAGATGGAAATTTAATCTGTCTGCATTTGTGGAACGAGGGGGCGGGCAGGATGAGTAAAGGGGAATGTATTTCCATTTGGCAAAGAACCAGTGACCAGTGGAATAGCAGGGATGCTGGAAATAGTGGGCTCTTTGGGTCACCTGGATTGAACCACCTGATGATGGGTGGTCCAGAACGCTTTGTCGTGTGTTCCCACTGGCTCCAAGGGCTCTGCGAAGCATCCTTAACCTGTTTGACACAGCTCTGGAATCATGGAGCACTGCTGGGGCACAGCTCGGGTCGGGGAGGAGGGTTATCATAGAAACAACCCTGTCATCTCTGCCATCACTCAGCATCCCACCCAGTCCCAGCTCCTGTGAGATGCTGGCGGGAGCATCAGAAAATCCTCCTAAATCAGTTCCTCCCCCAGGCTGGTTTGCCACCTCCCTCATATTTTCTGCGTCTTGTGGCCATTTAGCGCTTAAGTCCTTGGCAGATGAGTCTGAGGACCCTGGTTGGGCTTCACCAACAATACCTCTTCAAGTCCCTCGCTAAGCACCCACCATGTACTGGGCACTCTCCTGGGCTACAATTGAGTGCTGCCATTGACCTCTTTCCCGTGCTAGGCACCATTCCTCGTTTGGTCTTCTCTGCAAAACCCTCTTGAAATGACTGGCTGTCTCCCTCTTTTGCTGACGAACTAGAGCCCTGATTCTCAACCTTCCTAATGCTGCGACCCTTTCATACCGTTCCTCATGTGGTGGTGACACCCGCCCCCAACCATAAAATTATTTTTGTTGCTACTTCATCACTGTCATTTTGCTACTGTTATGAATCGGGCCACCCCTGGGAAAGGCTCATTAGACCCCCAAAGGGGTCACAACCCACAGGTTGAGAACCGCTGAACTAGAGGCTCAGAGAAGCATGGTTCTCATAGTAGCTGTGAGTTCAATGGCTAAGGTCTGAGCCCCAAGCCCTGCGCTTTGGTCTAAACAACAGGGCCTCCTGCTGGAGGTAGACAGGGGTGGCCACTTAAACTAGAGGGGAGTCCCTTTCAGGGTGAGTGCCTTGGCCGAGACGGTTCCGTTCTCTGCAGAGTTCTGACCATCACCCTTCCTAATGGCCTGGTTTCCCCCTTCCCCAGGGGTCGACTTCAAGATGAAGACCATCGAGGTAGACGGCATCAAAGTGCGGATCCAGATCTGGTGAGCGGGGTGTGGGGGAAGACCCCGGCTGTGCCTTAGCCACTCTACCAGGGAGAGCTGCCTCTGGGTGAATGGCCGCCCCTCTGATGGAGAGAAGTCTCAAAAGGCTGCCTCCTGCTCTTATGTCAACTCCAGTTTCTATGAAACTCTATGGGATTGACCCAAAGTCACCAAGAGGCAGGCATTAGAAGGAACCAGCACACTAACTACTGTGACTTTGTCTTAGAATCAGGTGGGAGGGAGGGAGAGGCAGGCCCTGCTTTCTGGTGGGCCCCCAGGGGTGCGGCAGAGCTGCCCAGTGCAGTTTCCCTGAGTAGCCACAGGGGGCCACTCTGTCTCTCTGGCCTGAAGGCCTCAAGCACTGCCTTTACCAGCATTAGGAGTTGACCCTCAATGCCAGAATGGTAGGGGCACGACCTTCAGGGGCAGCCCTGCATCCAGCCATTATCTGGTCCCAGAGGCCAAATTCTGGAGAATTGCTTATGGCCCTGTTAAGGGCACAGTTCCCGGTCCAGCTGTAGTTAGCAGGAAGGAGTAAGGCCCTGTGGGCTTTGGCAGCGCCCAAGGAGATAGCTGGCCTCTCTCCTGCTGACCCAGGCATGTGTGGACTCCTTTAGGGATCAAAGTACCACTGATTTCTACCCTGCAGCTCCCCAGTTTTTCCTGCAAGGGCACAGGGTCTCCCCAGCTCCCGCTCCTCTGAGGGACTGGCTTTCTCCTGCAGGGACACAGCGGGGCAGGAGAGGTATCAGACCATCACAAAGCAGTACTATCGCCGGGCCCAGGTGAGCCACCATCTTCCAGGATCAGTGCTGGATGCCGCCACCTGTTCTGAGTTCTTGTGCTACAGACCCTCAAAGTAGGGCTTTCAGATGGCCTGCCGGGGAGGAGGCCCTCGGGGGCTTGCTGTGGTCACAGACTGTCCAACCTTCAATTATTCACGTAGGCAGGTCCCCCGTAAACCCCACCCCCCATCCCCAACCTTCCAACTTTCACCCTCTACCATGAGCCAAAGCATGGGCGCTCAGGTACAGGCCTCTGAAGCTGGTGCTTTGAAGGTCTGCTCAGGGTGCTGGGGAAACCTCATGGTAAGCTGAGGTCATGGGCAGGGTGTGGGACCCAGCATTGATGGTGCCGCATCCCCATTGTGTGTGTATGTGTGGTTTCTCCCCTATCTCCCTCTTTGTTTCTCTCTCAGGGAATTTTCTTAGTCTACGACATTAGCAGCGAGCGCTCCTACCAGCACATCATGAAGTGGGTCAGTGATGTGGACGAGGTAGGAGACCCACCTCACTGACAGGGTGAGGACAAGGGCCTTTGGAGGGGAAGGCAGGGAGAGGGCCAGATGGCTAGGGCTGAAGTCCTCAGGGTTGGCGAGTAAATGCTACCAGGAAACTTCGCCTTCCCTCCCTCTGAGGCCCCTTGGATGAAGACTTATCAAGGGGTAAGTAAGACCTGGGGCACAAGCCAAGACTGCCGCATCCCCCTGCTCCATCCGTCAGAGTTCTTTCCCAGAAATGAGTCAGTTCCGAGATCCACCCTGTGAATCGTTCTTCTCTGGAATCTCAGGGCGAAGTGCAGCGGAGGGCCTGGAGTGCTAGCCGTGGCGCTGTCACGTAACCACAAACAACCACTTGAACTCTCTGGATCTCCAGCTCCTCTCCTGTAGAATGAGGGCTTAGGCTAAGCCCAACGTCCTTTCCAGCTCTGATCTCCGTCGTCCAGTCCACGAAAGCCCCAGATTCTAGCCAGAGTGCATCCTACCCTAAGCTGGCTGCCCAGGCAATATCCTTCCAGGCCCTCTGGGATCAGCATAGGGCCTGCATCAGTTTGTTCTAGCCCAAAGATGTTAGACTTGGTGCAGGTTGGGAGACGTGTGTGGACGGTGTGTTGGAGGGAGCGGCCCTCAGGGGCAGTTCTGCCTATCCTTCATCCCTAGTATGCCCCGGAAGGTGTCCAGAAGATCCTCATAGGGAATAAGGCCGACGAAGAGCAGAAACGGCAAGTGGGAAGAGAGCAAGGGCAGCAGGTAAGTGGGCGTGAGGCTGTGCTGGCTGAACCCATCCTTGGACCTCTGGCTGCACACCCAGGAACTGGGACCCAGGCAGCTGTTTGGCCCCCCGGCATCCTCAGGCCCTCCTGTGCCTCCCCCAGTCTCCCAAGGCTCTGGGTGACCTGCCATCCTTGGAGAGTTTGTCTCCTGCCCTTCAGGACAGCAGTTTGGGGTCCACAGACCTCTTGGACATCAACTCTTCTGGGCCCACATCCCCCAGAGCAGGAGTATCCTCTGCGTAAGACATCCCCCTCCAGGTGGTCGGCTTTCTCTACAGTTAGCATCCAGACCCAGAGACCATTTTACAGTCAGGAAAACTGTCCCCCACCCCATGCCCCCTGTATACTCCTACTCTTCCTTCCTTACCTGTTCAAAGGGAGGAAGGGAAGTGAGGGCAGATGAAGGCTTCCAGGTTGGAGAGACTATGGGAGTAAAAGGGTAGGAGGATGGTGTTGAGGGAGCTTTCAAGCCGACCAGAGACCCATCCTCTCAGAGAGCAGAAACAAAGGTTGATGTTTCGGAGGTAAGAGTTGTCTATCTGTGCCGGGCCCTCCAGCTCTTTCCTGGCCTCCTTCAGGTTATAGCATTCCACTAGCACCTCAGCATAAAGCGTTTCTTGCTGACATTGGACTACGATGCATGGCCATTCCCGAACAACCTGAAAGGAGAGACCAAACCCACTGTAAGAGTATCGATTGAGCACTGTACGGCTGGCACTGTGCTAAGCAAGGGCCTTTACGCACATGGCCCTGAATCATTCCACAACCTTTTTTTTAACAGTTTCATTGGTACTTCCTCCACATATCATCCAATTGAGTAGTTCAATCGTATCAAGAAAGTTGTACAGTCATGGCTACAGTCGATTGTAGAACATTTCCATCTTCCTTGTATTATTATTATTTTTTTGGTAACAGTTCTATTGTCATTCCACAATCTTGGATGACAGATACGACTCTCATTCCCATTTATTAAGAGATGAAACAGAGGTGTTACTGAGAGTAAGGAATTTGTCCAAGGTCATGCAGCGAGGCAGTGGCAGCCTGGTATCCAACGCTGGGCCTCTGGCTGCCAAGCACATGTTTGTCATGCAGATGCCAGCTAGTTCAGTGTCTCTGCCTCCTAGTGCATCGTGGTCACACGGAGGGGTATGTTGAGGGGCTTGTATGGCTGGAGGGCCTTGTCCCGTTCTTTGCTGGCCCAGGCCAGGGAAGGAGCGCCCCGCCTAGCCCAAGAACTTACCCACCCAGAAAATCGCCCATGGCACAGCCTGGGCTGAGGGCTGAAGAATGTGCCAGGTGCTGTGGGGCGCTGCCTGGTGGGACCCACTCCCTTTCAGAAATGCTCTCCTCCTGCAGCTGGCTAGGGAGTACGGCATGGACTTCTACGAAACAAGTGCCTGCACCAACCTCAACATTAAAGAGGTGAGCTCACCGGCGACCAGCTGCCCTGTCTCTTGGACTGCGCCCAGCAGAGTGGGGTGGCAGGAGGGGGGG